CCCCAAAACCCCAAAACCCCAAAACCCCAAAACCCCGAGAGGAGTTACTTTAGTTGAACTTTAGGTGTAAATAGGTCACTGTTTAATTTATTCAAGTGTTTGCTTTGAGACGAGCATATTTGCCCTTTGCAACCTATTTAATCTCCTTTTTCTATTACGACTTCTGTTCTTCCTAAGATGCAGGACTGGTCTGCGATCATCAAGAAGTTCAATGCTAGCGACGTCTGTATTTTTGTCGCTAGCATAGCCGTCAGAAAGATGTTCGTGTTCAACTAAAGTACCTACTTCGAGGTCAAAGGAAGTATCACCTCCTTTGGAGATTTCCATAGTCTGAGTTGTCATTTGAACATCCGCTTGTCTATTGATAGAGTCTCTTGATGATTTACGAGATGCTTTCTTTTTGTGCATGAAGTCTACAGACAAAGACCTTCCCAATTTTCCGAAAATTTTGTTCCGGATATTAGTTTTAGAAGCTTTCTTGGGATGTCCGAAGATTGATTGGAGATCTTTGTCTTCAAAATTGGTTTCTTTGTCTTTGGTTTCTTCAGCAAAAACTACCTTTTTCTTTACTAGAGTTGCAGGTTTCTGTTCTGGCGGGAGAAGATTCTTACTTATACTTTCCTTGATTTGGTTATTTGGAAGATGGGAATGAATGTTTTTGAAGAAATCTCCGCATTCTACGAGGAAGAGAGGAGTTCCGAACGGCATCTTTCTCTTTATTCTATTGAATAAATCCTTTTTGTATCTTAAGAAGTTCTTCTGTTCCTTCAAGAGCTTGGTTAGTCTTCTGATATATTTAGGAGTGATCCTGTTTTCTTTCATTGACTCAATAAGTGTCTCCAGCAGAGAGGTTTGGTTATACAAGGCTGCCTTGTGCTCATTGTTTAATACTAATTTTAAAATTCTTGTCAAAAGAGAAGGATCTTGGCTTTGAATTTCAGGAATCTTAAATGCCAAAATGTAAGTCAAGCCTTGAACTACACTGATGTAGAATAACTTATCGTCAATTCTCATTTTTCCTCTAACCCTTTTGCTTGAAGATTCATTTCCATCTGAATGACTTGATTCGGCATCGAATTGGGTAGGCTTAATTTTTGAGTGGAATTTTCTTTTAAAGAACTTCACCAGGAAATGAAGGCTTTCCATAAGAATTCTAATTGAAATGATTTCTTTACCACTGGTAGCTAACAGGCTGCAGAGATAGTTTATGTTACAGACCTTGTTTAAGCACTGGTCTGCTTTATAAAGGCCTGTTTTTGTTGAGTCTTCATCATTAAATGCTCTTAGAACGAAGAGTGTGATCAATTTTTGCAGGAACATCTGGTTGATTGAGCAGACATAGAGGAAGCAATACTGAGGGTAATGGCTTTCAGAGTACGGTAGCACATTCCTTTCAAATAATCTGAGGAGCATATCTCAGAAATTATCAATCTTGTTACGAGAGGATTCACTGTCTTCAAAAGTCTCTTCTTGTTCTTGGCATCTCATCTCTGCATCTCCAGAATTTGTCAGACTCTTTTTCATTAGGCTGGGGGTAGATTCTTCCTCAATTTGCTGGATCCTGGCTTCAAAATGACAAATCAGGTGATATAGGTAGACATCAGCCTTGAGGTCGTTGGAAGTGAAGTGTCTCTTGAAGGCTAGCTGCTTGCTTTTAATACTAACATCAATCTGAATGAACCTGGTAAGTATAGCTTCTAGAACCTCTTCTTCATAATATGGCATCTTAGCCAAAATATGGAACAAAATCCTTAAGAAGATAGCATGGAATTGGACATGCAAAGCTGAGTGAGGAATCATTTTAAGAATTAGTTTCAAAATTTTTGGCTTGTTGAATGGGAACTGTTCAGCAAAAGATACAGCGAGATCTAGAAGATTCTGGATATCAATTCTGAGAGTTTTAGTTGAGTCAATCATATTGTGAGAAAGCTTCACAGCAACTTGGTTCACACATTTCATGTAAGAGATATCTTCTACAGGTAAGTTGTCTTCTCCATGGCTTGGAGTAGACTTCACAGTGTCCTGGTCATTACACACAGAGATAAAGAAGCATGGAGTGTTTTGCTTGGATTTTCCTTTGAACACCTTCACTGTTGCTCCTTCTTTGAGGATACCTTTTTCATCTGCATTTGGGTGTGTTTTGAACAGTTCAAGCATAAAATCAGCATCATCTGGGTTCTGGATCTGAGTGAACCTCTTCTTGGATCCTTTGAGTATATCTCTGGCTCTTTTCTGAATATCTTCGATAGAGCTGAAGACATTTTGATCACCAATTTTAATGGCAATGTCCTCTGACACTCAGGCTGTGCACAAATTCAGAGCCTGATTGAGGATCAACTCAGTTGCCTCAAGAATGAACGATCAATCAAATGACAGTAGATTTATGCAGAAATCCCGGTAGGCCCCAAAAGACTTTAGATATTGATGAGGACTTAGAGGGTCATACTTTGGAGGATTGTTAAGGATCGCATAAATTAAGTCTTTAGCTCCAGCTCTTAAGAGGCTTGACACTAATTTACTGAATAATTTCAGCGAATCATAGTTGAGCTCGTTGTCGTGAACGATCTCCAAAACAGAAAAATATTTCTGTTCCGATTGAGAAGCTATTTTTTCTTTAAGCCCTTCAGTACAGAGCTTAACGAAACTATTGTAAGAGAGTGGCTTCTCATTATGGACGAAGAAGGTCTTTTCTTGTGATGCTGACATAGTATTCTCAACTATATTTTATAAAAATAATAATAAGATTAGAAAACCTTTCTTTAATGGGGTTTTGGGGTTTTGGGGTTTTGGGGTTTTGGGGTTTTGGGG